AACCTTCATAACAGCCATTTAAACACAGTTACTTGTAAGTAACAAAGAATATTATAGTGTATTTTTCTGCCGCATCGATTTTAGCGCGCGCAAATTTGTATGTACTTGGCGTATTTATGGAGCATGTATTGCAAGTATCAGCTTAAGCTGTAGATACAATTCAAGAAATCGATAGCCACTAGTTTTATTTAAAAATTCAACGTAATTTAATTTGCTGATAGAACATGGCAAGATTCTTTCATTTCGCTTATTTTATTAGGTCCTGCTAAATAATGTGTTAGTCTAAATATGTGTATGCAATTCACAATATTTTTCCATTTCTAATAGTTCTTCATAGCTCTCTCCGGAGGATTTTTTGCTTCAATCTGAACGAATAGTTGTAGTCTAAAATTCACTCAGGGGCACGCAACGACTGTTTTCTGTAAAATATCTGTTCGGAGACGCAAATATTGCCTAGAATTTTCTCTTGCTTGAGGACGGCTAAAAATTTCTAGATGCATGACCGTTCCATTTATGTAAAATTTTCGAAGCTCATCTAAATTCCCAACGATTTTTTGAAATTTATTTTTTCACATTTTACTCCTCATGTTAGGTTATTGTTCGAAGAAAAAAGAAAACGTAAAATTTTCGGATTGAAAAATGTGATGGAAAGAGGAATCAGAAAGAGGAATCTCTCCTTTCTATACGTTAAATTGCATCTAAAATTTTTGGGAAAATAATACTGAAGACCTGGTAATCTCGAAGAGACTCACGTTCCCCTGGGATGACCGAACAGACACAAATTTTATAGCGAGACTTAGAATGCATTTCTAGACATCTAAAAGTACACTGGATAGCCTAAAAAGTGTTTTCAGTGTATTTAGGATGAAACCATCGTTGGGTGCCCCTGTTCACAGCTCGGTCATATATAGTCATGTTAGAATGCAGCTTTGAATTTGACCCTGGTAGCGGGAACTGAATTTAATTTCTTAAATAATCATAAATTATATGGAGGTGCGCTTCACCTGGTTTGCTTGTAGGGCCTCACTAAATAACTTGGGAAACATAATTGCTCAGGGTATTTCGAGGCGAAATTTGCGGGCCCAGAATTGGATTTTCGTACGAGTGAACTGGGTAACATTTGCGCTTTCTTAATACTGTTTCCTAATTTAAACATTGCCTTATTTTGTTACCTATCTAACCCTTTGGTACTTTCAAAAAACGATAAATGATTAAACTTATGTTTTTTTAGGCTTCAAACATGAAGACACTACAGTTAACTTTTCATCCTCTCTTTGAACTTGAAAACCTTCCTAGCGAAATCACACTCCAGAAATACCAGTCGCACCAGACAAAGTGAACAAAATGGTGCAATTTCAAAGAAAGGGAATTATTTTTCCAAGTGACATTTTTCTGTGGGACACTGGTGTTGTAGTCTCTCTAAGTCTCTATGGTCACGATGATGCGTTCATTAGCGCATTCGTGTTCTCACGCGTACGTTTTTAACCTTTACCTCTCTCTCACGCGCGTCTTCCACGCAGGGTAGAGATGCCACTTCTCCCGCCGCGCCCGAGCTAGTCCGGTTTCTTCCGCATAAATTATCACTACCCCCCACCGGACAGGATGCCGCTCCCACCCCCTCCCCGCCGCCGCCGGCTTTTGGGTCGCAGGTACCCATGTTTAAAGTTTTCGTTTTCTTGTCCGAAGGCTCATTTTGACATAATGGTTCAGTTTGTCGGTATCTTTGAGTTATCTCAAATATTTTCATACGAGGGAGGATTACATTAGTCTGCTACTCAGCCGTTTTTGGTCTCGTCACGCAGTGCTCCTCCCCACACGCCCTGTGGGGAGGAGCGTTGCGTGACGAGACTAAAAACGGCTGTGTAGCAGACTAGGATTACATGGGACACCTTCACGCCATGCAAGAAGATCCGCACGATCGGGCGATTTCCTGGATACAGCTGATAAGAATAGAGCGTTTTCACTCACGTGGCCAGCATCTATGCAAATTTATTGGAACAAAAGAAAGTGTTTACATTTGAAAAGAGTTCAACTCCCACAAGATTGACTTAGAACACCAACATGGCCGCCGTTTCGTTGTTTTGGAACACCAAAATGGCCGCTATGACGTCATGTGAAAACGCTGTATACATCAGCTGGTTTTCATATAACCAGTCGGTTCGCCTCGATCCTTCCAATCGTCCCCTAAATCGAGGCCGTCTGAACCACTATAAGAATAACACGCTCAAGGAAACAACGCGACTGCCAGACGACCGCGTCAGCTCCACCATTTGATTTATCATATCCTCTTAATAATTGATAAATAAAAAGAAATTTTGATAGGGCAATTAGTGTGCACAACTAACAAAAATACTTTTAAGGTTAAAAAACAGTTCTAACGGCTAAAGTTTTTTTCATGACTTACCTAATAAAAATTATTTCATGTTTAACTAACCTCAAATATAATTAGCAAGTAAACAAGATCTTGACGTCACTGTAATAGCCCCAATCTTCCCGAGCCGCTTAGCGGTGGACAAAATGGACGACCACTGGCCGGTTTCAGATTTTCCCAGTAGGCTCGATTAGCTCTGTAAATAAGCAAAAAAAGGTCACAATTTTTACTCAAGACTACTCTCTATCCCTCTCTCACAAGCCTGGTCTCAACTTGATCGTGCTAATCGTCTCATTCCAGATCTTAAGACCTTAAGACAAAGACGACTATGAGTACGAGATTTTCTCACACTAAATAGTGCTCGCGAGCGTGAATCAGCGTCATTTTGGCGGGAAAACGTGGTAGCCGTCGTCGTTCTTCCACGGGTTTTAGCGGAAATGTCGTAGTGGCGGAAACAAGTTATCAAATGTTAGAAGGTTCATCATTTTGCGATTTGGATAGGGCTTAACCCTCCTTCAATAAAGATAACAGTGCTTTTGACTTTTCTGGTGAATCAAAAGTACATTGAAGCTTTCCGGGGTTTCTATTTTTTGAGAATATGCGAACAATTCTCCAGTAGTAGTTCTCCTCCCCGAATCAAAAGATCTCTATTATTTGCTCAGGTTCCCGATACTGTAAATTACAAATTGTAAATTGTAAGCAACCTTTTGCTTGTGGCGCAGCTTGCATTAATAAAGTAATACCCCCCAATGTGAAACTGAATTTGAGATAGACCACTTGCCTAGTTCCTAGGCCTCATTATTGCGCACGGCCGATGCGTTTCGGGTCACGTGATTCGAGCGAGTTTTGGAGGCCGTCCGTCTCAACCTCGTTCCCTGGGAACGAGGTTGCGGTCGCCTCGAGAACGTCACCTACACAGAAGAGCCAGTGGTGGATCCAGGGGAGGGGCCCCGTCCCCCCTCTTATTTGTGGACCAAACTGAAGCCCGAAGAGCCGAAAAAATTTTGAGACCGGGCCTCCTTATCTCAGGGTCTGGATGACCGCTCCTCCCCCCGCCCCTCCTAGCTGAAGGTTTCGATCCGCCACTGATAAGCACACGGGATCCTTAACAAAACAATGGTTCTGAGATGGGGAAACGGTTTTTCGACCTTATCCAAGAAGATTAGAAAGTCTAAATGTTTGCAGATGTCTTCACAAAGGTAGCACTTTCTCCTTAAGTTACGGTAAAACGGGCAACAAACGACGTGCAAGTTGCTTTGCAACATTGTTGCAAAATGAGTTGAATAGCCATGTTGCGCGTTTTACCACCCAGGTAAATAAAACCTTGAAACCCCATTTGTTGCAAGACACGTCCAAACGGCGGCGGTAAAGCGGTGGTTGCACGTTTTTTGTTGCCTGTTTTAATGTAGCATTAGTTATTTAAAGACCCTGAGAGTTGTCCTGGCCGGGGTTTGAACCAGCGGCATCCCGCTCGGCAGATCGCTGCTAACCGGGTGATGGTTCATCACATGGAAACATCGTCCAAGCAATGCGGAGTACGGGTTATAGACGAACGTCAAACGGAAGTGGACGTTTTTCATTCTAGGGCAGTGGTTTTAACCAAATTTTCGTGTAATTCATCTAGATAAGAGTAAAGACACTTAGCGGATACAATTTTGGTAGCGTTTAGGCATGTTAACCCTTTAAGCCCAAATATCCACATACAATTTCTCTAAACTGATCTCTATACATTTTTATAAAGAATGTGTTGAGAGAATTTGATAAAAGATCAAGGCATATCTCTTTGGTGATCATTTTATTAATTCTCATAACATAATCTCTTGAAAATATATGGGAATCGTTAGGAGAAAATTGATGTTGGTCACCATTGGGACTTAAAGGGTTAAAGGGAAAAGAGCCTCACTTCCGGTCGACGTAAGTCCCTGGTGATACTCAGTTCCTTATGGGTCTTACCTTTCTCGGATTTCAGCGACCGCGTGATGTTTGAGTGCTCCTCCCCAGGGACTGTGCTTGTCACTAGCGGCGGGTAACCTGCCTCGTTCAGGTGCCAGCTGAAACGAAAACAAGGATTACAGTTGCTACCAGGGCACAGTAAGACCAGTAAAGTTTAAAGATACTTGAGAGGCTGGAACTTATTTGGGCTTACATGGCCTGTCCCAAACTTTTGTTTGTGATTCCCCCTCCCCCATTTTCAAAGTTGCTAGCAATACAAGACCATGCTCAAAACTTGGAGGAACAACGTTGAATGAAGGGGAGGGAAGGGAAAACGTTATATATGAGAGATGAGTGACTGGCAGCAATTTTAAGTGACAAAGGCCGATTTTTCCGACAGTGTCTTAACATTTTTGTAGCTGGTTGTAGCATATCATAGGGTTATCAATCATGATTTTATGTCAATCAACAAAAACTAATCAGTATACAAACCAGAAGGGAATTGTTGTTCACGGGACCTTCAACGTTTTTGGCACAATCTCTATTGATGAAATGGGTTACACTGTACATGGAATTCTAGTTTTAATCCGTGGGGAGCCTGACCAACCACTTAACTTTGAAGGAAGGGTGTGTGGTATATCTCAGTTTTGATTGGCAAACCGTATCAGCCATCGCACATTTTGGCTGATATCTTGTTAGCCAACGAATATTTGGCAAACATTAATCTGTATTCAAGGTTTACACTCTTACTTAGTAAAAGTATCTGGAAAACTTACCAACCTCTTCAGCGATAGCCCGGATGTGGTATGGTTCATATCCACAACATCCGCCAATATACCTGACTCCTAAATCATAGGCCTGTCGAGCGTACTTATGCACGTCCCAGCGAGTTACCTTTCGAGGTTCCATAGCTAAAAGAAATGGTGATAATCACGTAAATAAACTAGCACTTGTCTTTACAGGTGAAATTAGGGATCTTAAGATCGAATGATGGCGACTGCGGCGACAGCGGCGAAATTCGCGCTCTTTCGATCCTCTTCGCGATTAATCCAACTCACTTTCTTTCTTAAACTTGGAGTTGAATTCTCAAGAACCAATTTCACGTTCGGTTAAAGAAAGAAAATTTCGTCGTCGCTTGTTTACGTCCTACATAAAGCGTTAAACGCTGTAGTCGTGCAGTGACGGCAGAAAAATGTACCAAAAAAGCGTGCTGCACGTGCAAAGTTCTTGTTTTGCTAACGAAACTCATTGTTTTTTTGAAGACGTTCTCACTGCCATCGCTGTCGCCATTGCTTAAGCTCGCTATTACTCACCCAAAATAAAAAAGGGACTAGGAGTCACAAACTGTTGCTAAACACAGGACCATGTTCACCTGGATTTTGCTAACCTAAAATTTAGACTAGCTAGTGGGCAAACACCCCTACCCTACAGTGATGTATTTTCCAGTTTACATACCCATTGTATAACTTGAGTTTTTTGTTAGCCCTGCTAACGTTAATTCCATTAGGGCCATTTATACGAGGAAAAATAAGACGCGTCTTACATAAGACGCGAACTGGACCATTTATACGAGCATGTCTTATCTAAGTCTTCTGTATACTTAAACTTACTTTTAAAGTGTAAGTTTACAATACGAAGATAGCAATTTGATTAGTTAATATAAATTGTGACAGTTTAAAGATAAAAGGGTCTGCTTACACCAGCAGATGTCACGCATTTGTCCAGGAGGTCTGTTATCGCCTTCTCCTTACATAATAACAACAAATCTTTTCCTCCGCGATGGACCAAGTGTTTCTTTTTACCTTTAACGGCGTGCTCATTGTATTTGAGCGAAGAAAAAAATAAAGCAGAATAGAAAAGGAAACGAAAACGCGTTGTAATTTAAACAATTTTTCCCCGCCAGTGGCCTACCAGTCCACCGCGGGACAAGCGATAATTTTCCCGCCAAAAACTAACGCTTGCGTACTATGCGTCCGCGTCTTGTGTAAGACGCGAAGGTCATTTATACGAAGTTTTTCTCGTCTTAGCTACAACCGCGTCTTATCTAAGAACAGGTGTTAAGGGCTGTTCTAAAATAACATGCGTCTTAGCTAAGTCGCGTCTTATTTTAGACCAAATGTGCCGTTTATACGGAAAGTTCGCGTCTTATTTTTCCTCGTATAAATGGCCCTATTGTTCACTCCGCGAACGATATTCGTGGTTTGCAACCACGTGGCACGTTGGGGGTCAATACAACATATTTTTTTCTCGAAGATTTACATGAAACCCAGAAGAGAAAAAATGCTTTTGTTTGACCACCAACATGGCCGCCGTGACGTCACGTGCAAACAAGCAATCCTGTCACACTGAAGAATAAAATGCTTCTCAATTTACGTCTTAGGTAAAGTAGGAAAAGTGGAAAACTGTCATACAGTCGAACCTTCAAGTGTGACCACCTCCTATGAGAACCACCCATCCAAACACCAAATAACCTGCCCTTAATACAAGGTTTATCTGATCTCTATGTTCGCAGTTTGTACTACCCTGCTTAGGCAGAGATGCCAACCTCTGGAGACTCTCTTTTTCCACTCCCCCCCTGGAATTTAAACGGACCCCCCCCTCCCCACCTCCGACAAATTGACCAAGCCCCCAATGGGAATGACTTAGGACATTATACTATCTAAATTCGCAATCATCGTTTTGATGCCAGAGAAATGCCCCAGAAACCGTACTGCGAATAAGAAAAATTCAAGTTTTGAGCTAAAAGTTGGCTAAATCTCAAACTAAGGCACAGAAAAGCTCGTAAGATGATTTTATCCTGGAGATATGGTGACCGGTACGGGAGAGTGGGAGATCAGTGCCTTATCCGGGAGACTCCCGGATAATCTGGGAGAGTTGGCACGTACGCTTAGGGCATGCGAAGAACAACAGCACAGAGCACAGTCAAGCCTTTTGATTTAAATTCCCCACACATTACTTACTAATTTTAAAAACAAACTACTGGGAGATGATGATACAGCTTTTAAGCTGTATCAAAACACAGCGTTTTATACTCTCATAAAGCATGCCTTTTCAACCAATAAGAGAGCCCATTTATAAACCTTACCTAGTGGGGCTTCTGGGAGGGCAGCAAGTCCCATAGGACCTGCATCTGGTGTTAGGTAACCAACTGGCTGCATCATCAGGTGAATTGTAAGCCCTTCTTTATCTAATGCCTCTTTCATCAGTCCTATTGTTTGTAAGCTCAAGTTATGGTCAAAGCGGCAATTGACTCCAATAATATCAGCTCCTACAAGAGATGTTACAACTACTTTAAGAACTTTATTGTACGCAATTGGCCTCAGACATTCACAATTTTGCCATTGCTCATAATATGAGACTTCATCCAACCAAGTGTAAAGAAATGCATATTAATTTCCTACGCAACTCTAATAATTGTTGTAAATAAACTAGCACTTGTCTTTACAGGTGAAATTAGGGATCTTAAGATCGAATGATGGCGACTGCGGCGACAGCGGCGAAATTCGCGCTCTTTCGATCCTCTTCGCGATTAATCCAACTCACTTACTTACTCAGATGTGGGCGAACTCACTTGGAGTTGAATTCCTCAGAACAAAATTCAAGTTCGGTTAAAGAAAGAAAATTTCGTCGTCGCTTGTTTACGTCCTACATAAAGCGTGAAAAGTTGTAGTCGTGCAGTGACGGCAAAAAAATGTACCAAAAAAGCGTGCTGCACGTGAAAAGTTCCTGTTTTGCTAACGAAATTCATTGTTTTTTGAAGACGTTCTCACTGCCATCGCCGTCGCCATTGCTTAAGCTCGCTATTACTCACCCAAAATAAAAAGGGACTGGGAGTCACAAACTGTTGCTAAACACAGGACCACGTTCACCTCGATTTTGCTGACCTAAAATTTAGACTAGCTAGTGGGCAAACACCCCTACCCTACAGTGATGTATTTTGCAGTTTACATACCCATTGTATAACTTGAGTTTTTTGTTAGCCCTGCTAACGTTAATTCCAATAGGGCCATTTATACGAGGAAAAATAAGACGCGTCTTAATTAAGACGCGAACTGGACCATTTATACGAGCATGTCTTATCTAAGTCTTCTGTATGCTTAAACTTACTTTTAAAGTGTAAGTTTATAATACGAAGATAGCAATTTGATTAGTAAATATAAATTGTGATAGCTTAAAGTTAAAAGGGTCTAATTACACCAGCAGATGTCACGCATTTGTCCAGGAGGTCTGTTATCGCCTTCTCCTAACACAATAACAAAAAATCTTTTTCCTCCGCGATGGACCTAGTGTTTCTTTTTACCTTTAACGGCGTGCTCATTGTATTTGAGCGAAGAAAAAAATAAAGCAGAATAGACAAGGAAACGAAAACGCGTTGTAATTTGCAAACAATTTTTCCCCGTCAGTGGCCTGCCTGTCCACCGCGGGGCAAGCGATAATTTCCCCGCCAAAAATTAACGCATGCGTACTATGTGTTTTGCTAACGAAACATTGTTTTTTTGAAGACGTTCTCATTGCCGTCGCCGTCGTCATTGCTTAAACTCGCTATTACTCACTCAAAATAAAAAGGGACTGGGAGTCACAAACTGTTGCTTATCTAAGAACAGGTATTAAGGGCTGTTCTAAAATAAGACGCGTCTTGGCTAAGTCGCGTCTTATTTTGGACGAAATGTGCCGTTTATACGGAAAGTTCGCGTCTTATTTTTCCTCGTATAAATGGCCCTATTGTTCACTCCGCGAACGATATTCGTGGTTTGCAACCACGTGGCAAGGCGGCCACGTTGGGGGTCAATACAATATAATTTTTTCTCGAAGATTTACATGAAACCCAGAAGAGGGAAATGCTTTTGTTCTTGACCACCAACATGGCCGCCGTGACGTCACGTGCAAACAAGCAATATTGTCACACTGAAGAATAAATTGCTTCTCAATTTACGTCTTAGGTAAAGTAGGAAAAGTGGAAAATTGTCATACAGTCGAACCTTCAAGTGTGACCACCTCCTATGAGAACCACCCATCCAAAACACCAAATAACCTGACTTGATACAAGGTTTATCTGATCTCTATGTTCGCAGTTTGTACTACCCTACTTAGGCCGAGATGCCAACCTCTGGATACCCTCTTTTTTCCACTCCCCCCCAGGAATTTCAACTGACCCCCCCCCCCCGCCTCTTAGGACATTATACTATCAAAATCACAATCATCGTTTTGATGCCAGAAATGATCTTTGTCAGTGACTAAATACGTGCAAAAATGCCCCAGAAACCGTACTGCGCCGGAATAAGAAAAATTCAAGTTTTGAGCTAAAAATGGTCTAAATCTCAAACTAAGGCACAGAAAAGCTCAAAAGATGATTTTATCCGGGAGACAGGGTGACCGATACAGGAGAGTGGGAGATCAGTGCCTTATCCACGAGACTCCTGGATAATCCGGGAGAGTTGGCACGTACGCTTAGGGCATGCGAAGAACAACAGCACAGAGCACAGTCAAGGCTTTTGATTTAAATTCCCCACACATTACTTACTAATTTTAAAAACAAACTACTGGGAGATGATGATACAGCTTTTAAGCTGTATCAAAACACAGGGTTTTATACTCTCATAAAGTATGCCTTTTCAACCAATAAGAGAGCACATTTTTAAATCTTACCAAGTGGGGCTTCTGGCAGGGCAGCAAGTCCCATAGGACCTGCATCTGGTGTTAGATAACCAACTGGTTGCATCATCAGGTGAACTGTAAGCCCTTCTTTATCTAATGCCTCTTTCATCAGTCCTATTGTTTGTAAGCTCAAGTTATGGTCAAAGCGGCAATTGACTCCGATAATATCAGCTCCTAAAAGAGATGTTATAAGTACTTTAAGAACTTTATTGTACGCAATTGGCCTCAGACATTCACAATTTTGCCATTGCTCATAATATGAGACTTCATCCAACCAAGTGTAAAGAAATGCATATTAATTTCCTACGCAACTCTAATAATTGTCGGCATTAACCCGATAATAATTGGCGGCAATGTCATCAACCGTGTCAATACCTATAAGATCTTAGGAGTTATTACGAACAATGACCTGAAGTGGAACTGCCATGTTGATTACATTATTAAGAAAGCTTGTAAGAAGTTATACTCCCTTAGAGTTCTCCGCGGAGCCAGGGTGAGCCACCCAACATCTTGAGGATATACCTTAGCACAGTCCGGCCAGTTTTAGAGTATGCTGTACCAGTCTGGCAGAACATCCCTGCTTACCTGTCAGAAGCCATAGAGCGAGTGCAAAAAAGGGCGCTTAACATAATCTACCCCGAGGCAGAGTCATATGCTCATGCCTTACAGTTAGGTAAACTAGATAGGTTAGATGATAGAAGAGTACTCTTGTGCTACAAATATGTGGCGAAAATGAAGTCCCCCAGCCACCCTCTGCACCACCTACTTCCCAGCCCACTTCTGGACGCGCCTAACTACACCTTAAGGCAGAAAACACAAAAGTATTATCTTGCAGGTCTGTAGGACAAAGAGAGTGGAGGACTTCTTTACATTTGAATTTTTTAAGTGATTCAATTGTTATTTTCATTGTTATAACTGGAAATTACTATACTCTAGATAATAGTTGCCTTAAGATTGTAAAATGTAATCGATAATTCAGTTCTTTTTACTGCAAGAGAGTTTTAATAAACTATTCATACTAAGATGAGTACTTCAATATACCCATAGACCATTGTACTCCACTTTTGTCATGCTGTTCAAGCAGGACCCAGGACAAGGCTTTTGGCGCTGTTTCGCAGAGGGACTTAACCAGAGTTTAGTCTGTTGTGCAGGCTAGAAGAACATAGGATAGCCTGTGAAAACATCCGTTTCTCCTCGCTCTTCGACGATGGGACGTTTCAAAACGTCCCCGGCGGCGAAAAGCGAGGAGAAACGGATGTTTTCGCAGGCTAAACATAGGACTGACTTAAATCAAGTTCAGGGGGAGCTGTGTCAAGTAGGTACCCAATCTGACTGGTAAAATGGCTATTATTGTGACAGCTGGAATGACTGGTGGCTGCAGTAAGCCTGTTTCCAGTTAGGCATAAAGATACACCAAAAAATTCCCAACACTGGCGATCTACAAGGATTTATTATAAACATCTCAACAACATCATACCTGCTCTTGCCAGTCTGACAGCACAGTCTCCTGGAGGTACGTTATTCTTATCCCCCTTAGGACCTATACACATGGTGATGCCCATTGGTTTCCCTATGGCCTTCATTGCCTCTACTGCCCACTCAGCTTCCTCAACTATACTGAAAAACTGATTGCCAGGAGAAAAAAATTAAGGGGCACATCAGGGTTGTCAAAAGTAGCTAGGTGCCGTCAAAAATCGCCGCCTACTTGGTTAGAATTGGCCAGCTACTCTGCTTAGCATTTCTTTATGGATGGCATTTTTTAAATAAAATATCCCTGGACTGGCCGCTTACTTTGACAAATCAGCCATCTATTTCAAAACTTTTTGACAACCCTAAATTCAGCAAAGTGATTAATATTTCAATTGTATGTGGGCAACAAGAGGAGTCTGCAATGCTAATCTCTATGTTGCTACTCTGCATGTCTGGCACATAACTATGTCGCCAGCGTTCGTTTGGCCTTCCCCTAAGAAAAATGGAATGTTTAGAATGCAATCTGATCATGCGCGTTTGTACCTTCTATCTCTTATAATTATCCGATCACCCCTGTTTTGACCTTCTATTACATGAAACTTAACCAAGTAACAGCACTATATTGGAGATTTGGAGCAAGAGCTTTTTGACCTTCAATCAGAAGCCTGAATTGTGTCTGTACTCCAACACCTCTGCTTATTACTGGCTGGATGAATAGAAAAAAATCACCAGAGCCCATAGCCCAGAGTAGGTAACAGCATTTTCATGGACCAGTTTATTTTTTGAGACAATAATTTCTATATAGTGGCTCACCTCAGCAATGATCAAATCCACATCTTTTTCAACAAAAATTTCCATCTGGTGCCTGAACTTCTCCATCACAGCCTTTTTACCAGCTCCACTTGAGTACAGTGAAGCAGTCTGACAGATTGATCCAGCAAAAAGTGCCCCTCCCTCCTGGGCCACGCCCTTGGCCAGGTCACATGCTGCCTGGTTTATCTTAGAGGCCTGAAAGAAAGTTCAGAAAACTGGCTGAATATTTTAATGTGGCTTGTTTTATGACCACATTAATGTGCTGCTCTCCTTGCTCCTTATACTTCTGGGGAAGAGAGACATCTACACCTTTATTTTAGGCTCTGTCCACAAATACCAGGATTTTTTCCCTCCATTTTAGCCTTCTGTCCACATGTACACATCATTTTTCAAGCACCAAAAACATACTTTTTCAAAAATGGTCTCCATCAGAGAGCAGCTTCTAGTTTGCCTGTGGATGGACTAAAATGGAGGGTTCCAAAAATGATGATGTCATCATATACCAATAGCATTACGCATGCTTTGTAAGGGATACTGTCATATTTACATTTGTTTTAGTGTGTTTAATAGGTGGATGGGCAAAAAGGACTCTAATAATGCAACTTGTGGATGTGCATTTTTCTGAAAAATATTATGGAGAAAAAATCTCCCTTTTCGAAAGTATCAGGATACATGTGGAAAGGACCTTAAATAGCTTTCAAAGCAAATACTAAAACTACTCACCCCATATTTAGCATGTTCACCTTCCAGGTCATCATCCATGGAGAAAGTAAATGCTTGAATTACATCAGCCCCTGCCCGAAGAAATTCTCGGTGAAGCTGTCGAACTGAAGAAGTGAAAAAAACCTTTTAAACCATTATTTTTTTGCCTTGCCTGAGGTTTCGTTTATGAACCACCATCCACACCAGGTCATGAGTGCAGGTCACAGTTTTACTGATTGGTAAAAATAAGTTAAAATGTTCCTCCCTGCGTGAAAAACTCATTTTAGATAGTGATTAGGACTAGGAGACACTTTCAGTCCTCCTTATTTATCGGTACCATAGTGACCTGCACTGTGAACAGGTGGAATAACACCTGTAACAAAAACCGTGCCATTAATTCCCTGACCTTATTCCTTCATATTCTACTGCAGGCCCCGGTTGTTCAAACCTTGGATAACACTATCCACTGGATAAATTTTATCCCCTGGATAGCACTATCCAAAGTTTTTAAAACAACCGGGGTCGGGTCATTGAAATTTTCGGAATTTTACGGTATTCCTGTAACAAAAACCTTAAAGTAAAAAGAGAGACTCTTTGCTGCCATGGTTTTGCCAAAAGATGAGATTTTTCTAGACTTAAGCAAAAATACTGACTTTTCCCTGATTGTTTCCCAGTGACTGCGGCAATGATGAGAAAATAGATAGTTCCACAAGCATGATGCAGAAGATAAATAATATCATCCTGTTTTACAAACCTGCTTCAGGGTGTTCCACTGTACACTCTGGAGTCCAAGGCCCTGCTTTTACATATCCACGCCTCTCCAAAGCATGCGCCATTCCACCATCTCCTACTATGACCTCACCAGCATTAAGCCGTTCCAGTATACCAAGCTAAAACAGGTTGAAGGAACACAGCTTACAAGGCAACAAACTGTGAATACAGCTGTCTTTTATCACTCAGCAAGAACACAGGAGAAATTTGAGAGACAGCTGTGTTTGCGAGCCTCCCATGCAGAGGGTCTGAGGTCTTACATTCATTCCTCTGCGCCAAGTTGTTTGAAGGCCGATTAGTGCTTAACCTGGGGTTAAATCTAACCTAGGGTTCTTTTTCTTGTGTTCAAAATCATTTTCTAGGATAATTTTCTCTGTTATTTTTAAAGCTTCCAATAATCAACTTGTAGACAAAAAGAATTAATACTGAAATGATTTTTAAGCTTTCATATCTGAATTCAAATCTCGTACCAACCCTGGGTTATGTTAACCCAGCTTTGAACAAGTCGGCCCTGATTGGTAGGTATCAATGAACAGAAGTGGCTGTTCATTTCAGCAGACGTTCGTGAAGGAGAAAAGCATGACAAGCCCCAAGAACGTCTGCATGGGAGGCTACTGTGTTTGCAGGCTAGCCAGTCAGAAGCAGGGAATTTAAATGCTTATAGAACTGTTTCAGCCCAGGAGCACTTTCATTATTAAAGTGCCCCTCCCTCCTGGGCCACGCCCTTGGCCAGGTCACATGCTGCCTGGTTTATCTTAGAGGCCTGAAAGAAAGTTCAGAAAACTGGCTGAATATTTTAATGTGGCTTGTTTTATGACCACATTAATATGTTGCTCTCCTTGCTCTTTATACTTCTGGGGAAGAGAGACATCTACACCTTTATTTTAGGCCCTGTCCACAAATACCTGGATACAAAGATTTTTTCCCTCCATTTTAGCCTTCTGTCCACATGTACACATAATTTTTCAAGCACCAAAAACATGCTTTTTAAAAAATGGTCTCCATCAGAGAGCAGCTTCTAGTTTGCCTGTGGATGGACTAAAATGGAGGGTTCCAAATATGATGATGTCATCAAATACCAATAGCATTACGCATGCTTTGTAAGGGATACTATCATATTTACATTTGTTTTAGTGTGTTTAATAGGTGGATGGGCAAAAATGACTCTAATAATGCAACTTGTGGATGTGCATTTTTCTGAAAAATATTATGGAGAAAAAATCTCCCTTTTCGAAAGTATCAGGATACATGTGGAAAGGACCTTAAATAGCTTTCAAAGCAAATACTTAAATTACTCACCCCATATTTAGCATGTTCACCTTCCAGGTCATCATCCATGGAGAAAGTAAATGCTTGAATTACATCAGCCCCCGCCCGAAGAAATTCTCGGTGAACCTGTCGAACTGAAGAAGTGAAAAAACGTTTTAAAACATTATTTTTTTGCCTTGCCTGAGGTTTCTTTTATGAACCACCTTCCACACCAGGTCATGAGTGCAGGTCACAGTTTTACTGATTGGTAAAAATAAGTTGAAATGTTCCTCCCTGGGTGTAAAACTCATCTTATTCCTTCATATTCTACTGCAGGCCCCGGTTGTTCAAACCTTGGATAACACTATCCACTGAATAAATTTTATCTGCTGGATAGCACTATCCAAAGTTTTTAAAACAACCGGGGTCAGGTCATTGACAGTTAAAAATATTCCTGTGATAAAAAGCTGAAAGTAAAAAGTGTGCCTCTTCACTGACTTTGCCAAAACTCACTGACTTTTCCCTGATTGTTCCCCGGTGATTGTGGCAATGATTAGAGAATAGATAGTTCCAAAAGCATCAGGCAGAAGATAAAAAATACCATCCTGTTTTACAGACCTGCTTCAGGGTGTTCCACTGTACACTCTGGAGTCCAAGGTCCTGCTTTTACATATCCACGCCTCTCCAAAGCATGCGCCATTCCACCATCCCCTACTATGACCTCACCAGCATTAAGCCTTTCCAGTATACCAAGCTAAAACAGGTTGAAGGAACACAGCTTACAAGGCAACAAACTGTGAATACAGCTGCCTTTTATCACTCAGCAAGAACACAGGAGAAATTTGAGAGACAGATGTGTTTGCAAGCCTCCCATGCAGAGGGTCTGAGGTCTTACATTCATTTCTCTGGGCCAAGTTGTTTGAAGGCTGATTAGCCCTTAACCTGGGATTAAATTTAACCCAGGTTTCTTTTTCTTGTGTTCAAAAGCATTTTCTCAGATAATTTTCTCTGTTATTTTTAAAGCTTCCAATCATCAACTTGTAGACAAAAAGAATTAAAACTGAAATGATTTTTAAGCTTTCATATCTGAATTCAAATCTCGCACTAACCCTGGGTTATCTTAACACAGCTTTGAACAAGTCGGCCCTGACTGGTAGGTATCAATGACCAGAAGTGGCTGTTCATTTCAGCAGACGTTTGTGAAGGAGAAAAGCATGACAAGCCCCAAGAACGTCTGCATGGGAGGCTACTGTGTTTGCAGGCTAGCCAGTCAGAAGCAGGGAATTTAAATGCTTATAGAACTGTTTCAGCCCAGGAGCACTTTCATTATTTTTTGTAAATTTTGTTGTCTCCAAAGACAGGTATGGACACCCTGGGATTGAGGGCACTCCCTTAATTAACCTAACAGGTATGTACTACCCACCCCTCTCCTTTCTCCTCAATATCTACATCCTCTACTGTACGCCTATAAATAAATACAAGCTTTTTTTTCATGTAAACTGATACATTCTCCAACTGTTGGCAATATTGTGTTAACTAAGGGGACACTTTATGTGAGAACACACGCAGAGAATTTCTCTAAGACTCCACCCTCACGACAAGACCGCTTGAAACAATTCCAGGAATCCTTGCCTCCTGCCCCTGCAACTTCTCCTTTGGGCTACCTAGGGGAATGGTCAGACATGTGACATGGCCTTGAAAATGCAACATAAGACAATGAAATGGCGACACACAACACAAAGATGGGTTGCAAATGGACAGTGATGAAGACAAGCCCAAAAACAATAGTACAATGTCGATGGAACATTGATTTCTTCTCAATACATGAAACAACGGGTTTTGAAATTCAGACCAGGGTAATGCCCACCCAATTTAACCTGAGAGGGCTTCATAATACATAAGATGGCGGGATGACCTTTTAGCTTGACGTTTCCCTAAAATGTTCTCTACAAAGATGGGATCATCTAGCCATACCAGTTGAACGTATCAGTGTGAATAAAACTGCACAAAAGTGATAAAAAAGTGATGTGGTGACTCCGGCTACTGAATATTTCATACTGTACGTATGCAAGCCAACAGACTGAGTACATCACACTGCCTTTCAATAGCTGCGTGTCGTATGTCCTTTATAATATTGCACAGTTGCAGTTTGCAACGGCTACATGTTTGCACTATCAATAATATAATTATTTTTAGATCCATGTACTAACCTTTTTGGCATTTGCCATGGCAAAGATCGGTCAGCTTGCAGCTATTTGCAACCTCAGATGACAGTCAGATGATGGTCGTTTAGAAGACCATGTAGGACTGGATCGAGTTTGCGTGGAAGTGGAGAACTGCTGGACTAGGAACTGAGGAGCGGGTCATGAGGACGTAACTACGGGGACATGTACCCACGAATGACATAACCGTTTCATGAAAAAATCCTTTTGTGGAACAAAAGTCTGCGGCGAAACATGCTGCATAAAATTTAGCT